GGGGGGTGGGGGTTGGGTTCGAAGATGGGGAATAAAATTCGAGGACGTTGCTTACGCCACACCAGCAGCCTCAAACGCCTAGTGAGGTGAGAAGTCCTTGCTTGGCAGCTCCTTTGCGTCTTGCCCTCGTGCTGTGCGTCAAATTCATAGCCTCAGTCTTCATCTGGTCTAAATCTCATACAATGTTGGCATCAGATGAACTGAAAGAGAACTGAAACTGTGTTGGCAGTCCTCGACACTAGTAGTCTGAATCATCGGTTTCAGCCTCCATCACGGGGATTGCGCAAGTTGGAGGGAAGCGAGGCCTCTCAACAGTAGAATCTTGTCATGCAAGGCAAACCATGTCATCATTGAAGACCCCACACCCAGAGCGGTACCCCAAGGTGGACTGTTGTAGCCAAGCACCCAAGCTCTCGGGGTGTTGGCAGGCAAGCGTCTTGGGCGCAATGAGCTTCGATCCACGACAAGACGTCTGAGGTCTCCTTCCGCCATCCCTGCAGAGTCATCCCGAGTTGCTACGGATCACGGCCAAGGACGAAAAAAAAAAAAAAAAAAAAAAAAAAAAAAAAAAAAAAAAAAAAAAAAAAAAAAAAAAAAAAAAAAAAAAAAAAAAAAAAAAAAAAAAAAAACAGCGACGCAGCGGCCAATGGCTCATCTCCGCCAACTCAATAGCTTGCATGGCAAAATATAGCTACCCCTGCAACAAGTCAATACTGTGCGCCTCTGGCCACAGCCAAAGAATAAATTTTACACTAGACTGTTTCAGCCATCCTTGGTTTACAGGATGCAAACTGCAGAGAGAGTCGGTGTACTGCGCGACATTTGCGGGAGTGATGGATGCATATAACACATTATATGCAAGGACACGACCCGGTTTCTCTGGGACGCTAACAGCAAGACTCTTGAGTAAAGCAACGCAATGGGAGACTCCAAGAGCAAGCACGAGCCGGTCCGCGATGCTTGGAATACTCTGGCAGCCGACATGATGACACACCAATGCCCCGTACTCCGGAGCAAGCAGATACGAACATGATGATGGTTGCCTTCCAGAACAAGATTTTACTGAAAGCCGGCGGGTACCAACAAAGGTCTTCCAGCATTCCCATGGATATGGATGTCACCCCTTGGATCGCCTATTGTGTCCACAACGCCAAGGTCGCTACCGGCCCACCGCCTTTGGCATCCAAGCATGGCGTCCACACCATCAGGACACCCATCCGCGCAGTATCTTTATCCTCGACAGGAGTCCTGCAAGCACTCCAGTGCAGCTAGTGGATTGACATAAGCCAGGACTCGAATCGGCCAGATGGGAGTTGAAAAGAATATAAAATAAAAAGTAAAATAAAAGAATGAACGAGGTGTTGCCGTCAGACTCCGAAGTGGGTGTGGGCTAGGTGGCTCGCGAACAAGAGCTGCTTCGTATCCAGCACCAGACCAACGCTAGACACGAGGATCTTCATGCTGTCCCGAAAAGGCCATCAATTGAACGGCAAAACATATCCCTATTCGGATCCTACGGCGCGGCCGATAGCCCGGCGAGCCCTCTGCCGTGACACCAGATGCCAAGCAAGCCATCATTGTCCCAAGCGTCGACGTAAATCGTGGCCAGGCAGCGGCCAACTTGAGCCAACAACTCAGAGTAACGAAGCAGGAGACCATTCATAACCCATTTCAGGACTGATCAGCCTCAGCTCGTGCCATGGCCAGCAGTGAGCACTACCAACTGGGAAAACAATGAAGCTGTTCAAGCTTCTTGGCTTCCAAGGTTGCAGGCCACCACCTCCTGTCGACCCTGGGAATTGTACGCCCTCCCCATCTAGCCATCCCATCTCGACTAATAATAAGTCGGGCCCGCTAGCCGAGTCCTGGCCAGACTTGCATCACTTGGTTCTTCAAGCGCGTTGCTTGAAAACGCCCAAGCCCCTCCCTCATCCGACAAGACGTCGACCAATCCGCCGCGGCGCCGACTTCATCCACACTTGCTGAAGCCGACTGGCAGATCTGGGGTCCAGAAAAAACCCACCCTTGGCCCTCCTCATGCCCACGTCCCTGTCCCAGCGGATGGGTGTGTGTACCTACCTAGGTAGTAGTAGTACGGAGTATAGACGATTGCTTTGTCTATGCTGCTGGGCTTTTTCCTTGCCGGCCTCCAGCCCAGCCGTCCTTATAATTGCCATTGCGGCTGTCTCCCCCACATCTTCTATTGTACCGCCCACCAGTCTGTCTTAGTCTTATGCCCTGGGACTCCTGCGGCTTGACTTGGACTCGATTTTCGACGCAGCTGCGGCCGCCTGATCTCCCCTTCTCACACCTTGCCGGCGACTTGTTACTCGCATACCTCGAAGCCCAGCCCGTTTCTTGAGCGGCCAGATGCTCGTCGTGTCGGCTTCATGTCGACGGCCACCCTCTCTCATCTCTTCCCGAAACCCCGAGGCTTTGGCAGCCGCAGTTATACCACTACCGACGTTGCCGCAGACACTTCTCGACAGCAGCGTCCAGTGTCTCTGTCCCTGCGGCCGTTGCGCGACCTCGTCCTCGGAGTCCGCCGCCAGCCATGCCCACCGATCCCCCCATCCGACGAATTCCACCACGGGATGCTCACCACGCACAAACAGCGCAAATGAGTTCGTTTCAGTTTGCACCGCAGCAATTTCCCCAGAGGGAAACGCAAAAGAGTTAGTATCCTGGTTGCGCCCTCGTTGCGACGCATTGCGACTCGCGCGCACGCTCTCCCACCGTGGCCATGCGCTGTCCAGTAGGCTGACGGCTTTGCTTCTGCTCCAGATTATGTCTTCGTCGATGAACACAATCGCCACAAGCGACTGAAAGGTTTGACCGGACCAGCAGGATCGCTCTAGTTCGCATGTCCACGGGCCAAAGTTCTGACCATTTGGCAATAGTAATGAGAGCTTGCGAAGGCTGTCGAAAGAGAAAGATCAAGTGCGATGCGGCTACAACCAACACCTGGCCGTGCTCGGCATGTATCCGCCTCAAGCTTCACTGCGTGCGACCAAACGGTTATGAAGGCTCGGATACAACCACCACATACGACACCATCTTGGATCCTTCCGCCCAGTTTCAGCACATGTCCTTGCCGGGACAAGCTGGACAGGACTCTTCAAAGTCTGTGCCAGACTTATACCAAGGCTCTTTTGCGGACCGAGACCTTCAACAAGTTTCATTTGACACGGCGACGGGCCAACACAGCTTCCACTACACCACGGTGCCAGCTACGGCAGTATTGGACCATGTGTATGGAGGTCCCGACGCCTTCCCGACGCCGCCAGTGCACCAGGAACCAAGGCAAGAGCCATCCCCAGAAGCACAGTCCGTCGACTCGTACCAGCAGCAGGATCTCGCAGACCTGCTGGGTGGGCTCCGACTCAATGAAATTGGAACGGGTATGTTTCGGGCTTGAGACAACGCATGACCACCTTTGACTAACTTTCGGGAACTCCAGCGCCATATCTGAGAAACAAAGCTTCATTTCGCCGGGAAGAACAGCCAGCGGTGGAGGATGACGACGATTACGGCTCCATTCTACCTGCCGTGACTGCAATACCAGGTCATAAGATTCGTATTCCCCCTGCATTGATGCCGGACGAGTCTACCGCCCTACACCGTTTCGATCTTTACTTTCGTCATGTGCACCCTTATGTCCCCGTCTTGGATAAGGTCGCATTCTATCAGCAATGGAACACAAGTCGAGAGTCTATTTCTCCCCTCATCCTTGAAGCAATCTTCGCCATTGGCGGTCGGCTGGCTGAGGAGCCGGCAATGGGACAGCAGTGGCTTGCGCTTGCGTCAAGTACGTTCATCAGCAGAACTTCCGTCTCGCTTCAAGTCAATCCGTTATACCTAACATGATATAAATTAACAGGGCATGCCGACTCTTTCATGGATGTACCCAGACTAAGCACCCTCCAAGCTCTACTCATGATGCTCAAGGCTCGCGAAGCTGCTCCAAAACGAGGATACTTCTACCGCTCTTGGATGCTCGTTGTACAATGCGTGCAGATGGGGAAGGATCTGGGACTTGATGAACACTTTGAGGATCACCGAGCCGGAATTTCTTGCGGCTTCACAGCTGCTGAATGCCGTCTTCGAACAAGGATATGGCAGACTATTTTTGTTTGCGAAAACATGGTTGGGGCCCCTCAAGGTCAGATAAAGTCCCATTTTCGTCACATTCAATCCGACTAATGGCCTCACTCGATAGGGAGATATGACTTGACCGTGAACCATGAGTCGGTTGACTTTAACCCCCCCAGTCCTCTCCCAGGTGGAGACGACAGCGAATATCACGTTTCTCGAAATTTCACTTATCTGGCGCGTATCCTGCGAAACATCAGAAAGATGAGTATCGCCTATGCGAAACTGAGAAGAAACAAGGAGTGGGCTGTCAATCCCGAGTTTCAGCAACTTGAGCAAATGATTTCAGCATACCTTGCCGAATTGCCCGGCGACATGACCATCAACTTTCCCCCCGACAGTTCGCCGCCATATTTACCATCGTCCTTCCTAGGGAACTTGCATTCATATTACTGCCTCCTGCAAATCTTGTATCATCGACCAGTCCTGTCATTCCTCGATCCGACCGTAAACGAGGCGCAATGGAAACATCACATGATGCTTTGTTACAATTCTGCAAAGGCCCTCTGCCGCTTGCAAGAGGCCACGTTGAAACAGTATGGTCTGGTCGATCTGCAGAGTATGCAACGCGGCTTTAGTTTCGCATTATACGCCGGTCTTTCCTGCATTGTCATTCATCTGGTAAGTGACTGATCTAGACTTTTTCCACATAGACGAGACAATACGGTAGGATGCTGACGGAACAAGGTCGCTATCGTATCACCGGATCCTGATCTCAATTCCGATGCGCGCGAGTACTTTGAGCGTCATATGAGGCTGATGGAGACGGTAATGGAAGCTTGGCCGATGCCAGACTTGCAGAAGCAAGTCGATGCCATTCGTGAAGCATTCTCGGCAGACATTGGGCGGCCGTTTGTACTCAAGCCTTCATTTCCATACGGCAGTCCGCATCCCTCCAACCAGTCAAGCTCGCCCCGAGGAACTGTGGCCTACCAAGTCCCCGCGCATCGTACAGGCTCCATGGATCAGCAGCTTGATCCCTCCAACCAACATGTCAGTTATATAAACCATCCCATTACACCTCCAATTTCTGTGGGCCCAATGGACAGCAGAAGTGACTCTCCAGCCGTACAGTCGCTAGTTATGATGCCGCAAGATGGTCAGGTCCCGGATATGCAACAGACCATGGGCCTTGCCAACAGTCCACCGACCTGGAATCCGGCACGTATCTTTGAGTAAGTCGTCCTCTGCCTTTTCGCACCACTGGCCAAGTTTCCAAATACCAGTCACCAAATGCCAGGGCCGCTAACACCATATGTAGACACTGGAATACCTCTTTCGGTACGCCATCCCAACCAGGCACTCTCCTAGGCTCCGCTTCTCAGGCAACATCGCTGAACGTTTGTACTCCAGGTGCCCCAGACCAATCTGCCATAACGGACCCATTGTCGAATCATTCCTTGTCCCCAGGTACTCAGCAGATAGCTCACCAACAGTATTCCACGGCAACCTCGATGCCAAACTTTATCACACCCGCTATGTGGCAAGAGTCTGTGGCCAGCGTATATGAAGGAGGTCTCAAGAGAGGCTGGGACTATGACGGCGGAGTGGCGTCTATGAAGCGACGATGACAACATTGATATAACACCACAATTTTTCAATCAACGGGCTCGGACTCCGGCAGATGTGTAATTGGGGGTTGTGCCTAACACTTGCAGCGGAATATTCGCACGTTCTTGGCGTAATCGCAAAGACGCCACTTTCTTGGAATCTTTTTTCTTCTACCACATAGCAACGACCCCGGGTTAGGGTAACTTTGCACATGATTTATTCCTTTTGATCTTACTTCGAATTACATGACATGGGCCGACGACATACACACGATGGAAACAACAAATGCGCATCGGAAAGGGGGAAAAAATTAAATGAAAAAGAATTGGTGTTGGACATCAAAGTAAAGGAGGGACAGGCGGCTGGGTAAGTCGTCGAGTCGAAACAGACGGTGGCACTTGCAATCAATGCTGCGGAACGAACTTATGAAGCCATGATGGGCAGGGGCGTTAACGGAAGCATATTTGCGTGGCATTTAGCTGGGGGTTTGATATCACACGATGCCTTAATGTGCCCAGAGTAAAATGTACACTAGAATTGTGGTGGGTGTGGTAAAGAATATACCAAGAGGCGGGTGGCCGATGAGAGAGTTGGCTCGATGGATTTAGATACAAGGACGGGATAGTTGATGCTGCGAATATGAGCAAAGAGTGCTATCCGAGTTGACCTTGGATATGTACATAATACGGCGTGTTGAAACGGTGGTGTCGTGGACTGCAGATGTCAAGTTGGGTTGCCCAAACGGAAACCCCAGGGCAGCAACAGCCGGGGAAATGGAAACAAGACCCCCTTTGTTCTTGCAGCATGATGACGATATGACGGCAACAAACGATGAGTGCCTACTTTTCGATATTCGATACATTATCCCTTCTTTTTCCACCCCGAGTAAGAATACAAACCCCCAGCCACTCGCTAGTCACCAGTCGCTGCACCTCAACCGGGCTCTGAACAACGCTGCTCTCGCCTGAAGCGTCCACAACCCCGTTCAGGCAGAGCCGGAAGCATCTCTCCTGGCAATCTTGTCCCTCAACGCCTCCCAAATCCACGCATCCACCGCCGTCTTCTTCCTCGCCTGATACCTGACCCTCCCCTTGCCGGCCACACCGCCGCCCTCCTGTACGTAAAACCCCCCCACGGCCCGATACATGTACCACCTCCTGCCGGCGTTCTCGGCCGCCGTGTCCCTCACGTAGTTGACCAGGCCCATGCGTCCGCGGGGGACGGCAGCACGCAGGTCGCCCGTCCGGACGGCGCTGTAGCGCGGCTTGGCGATGAGGCTCATGGTCGTCAGGGTGAGCCGCGTGCCCGGCGGCATGGCGTCGACGAAGCGGCCCAGCGCGGCGGACGACGTGCGCGCCGCCGCGGGCAGGTGCATGTGAATATGCGTTACAAACGGCGCCGTCGAGTACGCCACGAAGAGCACGGGGACGATGCCGCAGGCGGCGACTTTTGGAAAGTTAGTGCGGTCCTGGGGGGGTTTATACTTGGGAGACTGGTTTCACCTGCTGCCGTTTCGAGGGGCGGCTTCTCGGCCTGGATGTAGCTTGGCACTACGAGGAGCGTGAAGAAGGCGCCGAGGAGTAGGCTCGTGAGCTTGAGCATGGCGAGGAAGGCTATTCTTCCTGTGCCGGCGTGGTAGATGATGAGGCGTTCTGGGATTTCTGGCTTTGTTTAGCTGTGTGGACTGGGAAAGAGGGGGGAAAGACGTGTGACGGTACCGTAGTTCTTGTCGCTTGGCGCGGCGGACCTGGCTTGTCGCTTCATGGCTTCACTGGCGTTGGATCTTGATGGGTGGTGCGCGAAGGACCGGAGCTGGCTTTGAGGGCGGGTGAGCCGCAGGTGAGGGCTGCCGAGTTGGAATAGTCGCCATTGGAGCCGTGGCTTGAGGGGGACTTGGGCGGTGATTTGGACGACGGCCTTGGGGGCCGGTATGCGTAGGATGAGCATGGTTTGTGGGTTGGAGGCGGATACGATGGTTGAGGTGAGTTGTGGTGGTGTGGTGAGGTCCAGATGGGCTTGTGAATAGCCTACCCTGCACTTGTCTCCTCTCGGAACACTGTTGCACAATGTTCGACTGTCTGTTTTCCTTTTACTCTGTCGTTTGTTTTTTATGCATTGTTTTTATAACAGTGCTTTTAGAGATGGTCGGGGGTATAAATCAATCTACATTGCGCAGCCTGGCACCAGGGATGGTGTAAAAGTTGGATCTAACCGTACCTCTCATACATGCGGCAAGTTATGATGACGGAGAAATGACAAGTGGAAATACTGGCGGCCATGCAGCGTTATCAACATTGCAGCCTGATAGGCACAATCCAATAAGAAAATATATACAGTCTGGTGGGAGGCAAAGAGTATCTGACCAGGTCAGGTACCTGGCTATCACGTTGTATATTTTATAACACATGAATATTACTGTATACTTGTTCGCAGGTAAATATATTCTGCCATGGACTGTACACCATGTAAACAGGGCTGAAGGTCTATTCAACCTTGCCCCTTGGAGAAAACGCAGCTCTTTCAAGGCGCATCCTTGCCGTCCCGCGGACTAGTTTGTTGTTCATTACTGTATTTAGAAGCAGCATGGACTGATTCCACCTCGACACGGTGAGCTCATTGGCGGGCAGACAATATACTCGCGACGCCATCCAACGGCCTGGACACTAGCGCTGGCCCAAGGCGAATGAGACTCAACAGCTCGTCTTACATGACATGGTTCGTAGCCACAAAGAACTGGAGATTCGAGCGTCAGCATGCTGACACCAAGGGCCATCTTGCATCCCGAGGCGGCCTCGCTTTTTTTTTTAAATTAAAGGGATTATCGTGCTCGGTGAACGGCGTCTCGCTTCCCGATTTTCCTTTTTTTTTCTTCCCGCGCGGCTCGCAGTTGTGTTCGTTGAGCCGGGGGGAACCCGTTTTTGCAAACTCGAAAAGCACGATTCTACCCTCAGAAACCACAAAACCGACTATCCAATGGCAAACAAGGGGCTTGCCAGATTCATCCTCTTCCTCTGCGTCTTCATCGCCGGCGTTGTCGGCAAGACCAACTTTACACAACCGCCGGCCAACGGACCCAACGCCAACTACCAGGACAACCCGGTGTACCAGCCGGGGCAGAAGATAGACGTACAATGGAAGTCGGATCTTGAAACCATGGACCTCTTTGTTTTCCAGCAGTACCCAGCTGCCGGGAAGGGGGTTCAGTACCTTAAGAAACTCCAAGGTAGGTCATGATGCTGCCAACTGCTCTTCCAGCCGTCCCCGCCCACTAACCACTTCCCACGATGGCATATAGAAGGCACGAGGTCGACCAGCCTCATCTGGACCGTGAGCCTCGACGGGCTAAGCAAGAATGTGCCCAGGGGGGGAAACGCCATACTCTACTTTGCGGTGCTGCGCGCCAAGAGCCCAGACAAGGACGGCATAAGCCACTACTTCAACGTGAGCATACCCGACACGGCCTCGACGACTGCATCCGCGACCCAAACATCCGGCGTGCCTACAACAATTTCCATGACGACATCTGCCGTGACGGACGCGCCGTCCAACACCACGACGCCCGAGCCCGAGAGTTCTGGAGGGAGCAACTCGGGCCTGTCCCCGGGGGGCATTGCCGGCGTGGCAGTCGGCAGCACAGTCGGCGGCATCCTGCTCCTCGGCGGCATAGGACTGCTGGCGTGGAAGAAGATGCAGAGGGGCAAGCCGGCTGAAGAAGCTCAAGTCTCGGAAGCAAAGCCCCCGGAGCTGGCGGGCCCTGCTATTCACGAAGCGCCTTCTGAGCATCACCAGCCCCGTGATGCGCCTATATACGAGGCCCCGTAGACTTTTGTGTAGGAGAGGATATGTACATTGGGGCGAGACGGTGTGGGAGATGGGTTGCAAAGTAAGCGGCAGGGACATGATTTGAGGCATAACATCGTTGAAGCGTTCTCCGTACATTTGCGTCGTTGATACCAGATTATAGATGTACTCATTTTTTACGTGCAACTTTTGAGAGCTGGCCTTCTTGTTCACTCTGTCCCATTACTACAACAGCTTGACTTGCCGGAAGCTGATGAATTCGGAGTGAATGACCATGTTGGTGGAATTGGCCGGCGATATACCAAGAAGGCAAGAGAAGCTGATCATGGTGCCATTTTTGCACCAAGAGTCGGGGAAACGTTGCTGGAACAAAGACGGAGCCTCGGAGACAGAGTTGCGCAACATGAGAGATTGACACTTGGACTTGGCCATGACGTTGTGAACCAGGGGAAAAGTCCAGAACTGACGCTCCGTGGAGTGGAATCATTGTCGCTTCAATGTTGCTTTAGGCACACCCAGGCGTCATGGCACGAATAACAGGAACCATGCCATGAATGTAACTCGGTCTGACCGTCAGAAACTAAGTCGCGAAGCTCTTGGCCGGGCTCAAGGGAAAAAGAGATGCACAAACTTCGTAGTAATTTGTGGCAGAATCGTGACCTCGTCGTCGCCTGGCGTGTTTAGTCTGGCCCGAGTCCGCTTGAGATGCCTGGACGTTGGACAAAATGCTGCGTTTGCCTGAAAGCCCAGATTTGACGCAACCCTGAATGGACTCGTCTACCGTGAGCCGTTCACTTGCCGGGCCGGCTCGGTTCAGCCCTGTACCGAGCATTGTTTGACGGCGTGGATGTCTTTATGCAATATATAACCCCATTGAGTGCTCAAACCACAAATCATGACGAGTTGTGAACCATCCCATTTCTCCGCGCTGTCAACTCAACAGCCGTTCCAGCCTTGTTTCCTTGACGGCGACTTGATCCTCGTTTTACTGAACCATCATGGAACCAGCGGCTGTCACCAAACTTCCTGGCTTCGGCCTCCCGATTGACTTTCTCCCCGATAAGCAGCACCGCTTCCCCGTGCTAGTGGGAAACTCCAAGATTGACATCAAAGCCAACACGCTCACGATCCGAGAGCTCTGCATGCTGCCGTTCATCGAGGAGATCACCAACAAGCCGGATTGGTAGGTCAAGGTTCATGACGCAGAAATCGCCGCCAGGTGGAAGGCTGAGGCTCTCGAGATGAACTGGGCCGCCTTTGTCAAGCATACTGATTTTACGCCCACGGCCGACGCCGTACGTGTATGTACATGACTGACTGACACATGCTTATAAAACGACCGCCCCGAACGCTAACACGTCGTTTATCCAACAAACAGTGCATTCAGGAGCTCAAGCTCAAGGCTGACCTGTTCCAGAAAACTCACCTTGTGTCCGTCTTTGACTACACGGCTGCCGTTATCAAGTCTGATGACTTGGTCCCAGAGCATCTCTGGCAGGCGCTGAAGCAGGGAGCCGAAGTCTTGGAAGACGTGCCCGACGGTGAAAAAGACTGGCATCCAGGAAGCGAAGGAAAGGTGCTACACCCTTCGTTGTGGCCCTTGGTCTATGGAAAGTCTCGCATCCTGCCCGACCGACGCATCGGTCCATCTGACGCGCTTGACAACTGCGGTACAGGAGACGTCATCCAAGAGCCGGAAAGCCCAAAGGCCGCAATCGGCACTGCACTTCAAACGAATCTCAGTGGCTGCCGTGCGAAGTCTCAGTGGAAAAGGGGCGAGTCGAAATCGAGAGCTATATAAACAACCTGCACCCCGTCAAGCATGCTTCCCTGTACCTCATCATTAAGAGGTTTATCGAAAAGGCCCTGCCGGCCTGGGATGTCCTTTATCGCTGGCCAGAAGAGTTTGAAATCCAACGGCTGACGACGGATTCTGTGTCGGTGAGATGCAGAACCAGGCGCACCTGCGCAAAGTCCCTCCACGCCTGCGAGCCAAAGCTCTGCCTACGAAGACCCCTACAGCAATTCTGAGGTGGAGGAGGAGGAGGAAGAAAGTGATGATGGGGGTGATGAAGACGAAGAAGAGGAGGAGGAAGAGGAGGAAAAAGGGGGGGGGGTGGGACGAAGACCAGGACGAAGAGGAAGAAGAGGAAGAAGAAGACGATGATGATGACGATGATGGTCAGGATGGGGAAAACAGGAACCAGAGCACCGAATCCAAGGGATGGCCCAATCCAAGTCAGCTGCTAGCTCACATGCGCCCCCAAAAGCAAGATGAACCAGAGAGCGAGTACGAAACAGAGCAGAACGACAGCCGAAGAGAGGGCCGATGCTGCAAAGAAATATACCGGAGACGAGGGAGACGACGAGGAGGACGAAGACGAGGAGCGCGACCCCAACCACGTTTCCGAAAACAAAGTCAAGCGTCGCGACTGGCGCTGGTTCTACAAAACCCATCCCGTCAACGCCCCCGAGCCCAGGCCAACCTACCCAGCCGCCGCCTCCTCCATCATCGTCAAGCTGGCCAACATCCACCTCACGCCGGAAAAGCCCAGCTACGACGGCGGATCGTGGCACGTCGAGGGCCTGCTCAACGAGCACATCTGCGCCACGGCCCTCTTCTGCCACGACAACGACAACATCACCGACAGCCACCTCGACTTGCGCACGCAGGCCAACCGCGAGGGGCTCGACAACGACTACCTGCAGTACGAGCAGGACGACTGGCGCACCATCCAGCGCACCTTTGCCATCGGCTGGCCCGGCGGCGGCTCGACCGTCCAAAACGTCGGCAGCGTCCTCCAGCACCACGTCGCGCCCTTCCGCCTCGCCGACCCTGCGCGCCGCGGCCACCGCAAGATCCTGGCCCTGTTCCTCGTCGACTCGGCCGTCCCCGTCATCTCTACGGCTAAAGTGCCCTCGCAGCAGGAGCACTGGTGGCTCGACCGGCTGGCCCTCAGCACCGGCAGGCTGCCGCCCGAGCTGACCGCCATGATGCTGCGCAACGTCGAGTTCCCCCATGGACGAAGAGGCGGCAAAGGCCCTGAGGCGGGAGCTGATGGAGAGGCGGTCGGCGCACGAGTTTCAGACGGCGGATAGGATGAGGCGCGTCGAGTGGAACTTTTGCGAGCATTAAGAGACTTTCCCCTGCTGTCGTGTCCTTGGCTGCGTGTATTTCGGTTGCGAAAAAATTGTAGCAGTAGGGCCTCGTGTAATGGGTTTTATAGAAATAGTCTGGTTTCCAGAAGCTGTGCCGCGGTCAAGAGAAGCTTTGAAACATGACTCGTCTTCACGTATCTGTACATGGTAGACTCCGTTCGGCATGTTGATATGTAGACGTGTGTGATCCTCCAGCATGCATGACCTGACTGTATGAGGAGCCGAACCTTGATTTATAGACGGGCCTGAGTGATTGCTGTTTCCGACGTGTACATGACTCGCTGATTCCAGGTATCGGCCATCACTTGAAAATGCTTGCCGCAGTAGCAAGACTCCCTCGACTAAACTGTGAGACGCTCAACGTCAACGGAGCGATATGCCACGGAGCAGATGCAAACTAGGGAGCGCCTTGGAAAACGAAAAATAAAAAAAAGTAACAGCACTCATATCCCACCTGAGACACAACCTTGCCAATGGCAATTCCATCCTGTTTTCCCATTCATCTACGCACATATTGTACATGCCAAACGCCAGCCGGGACAAGGACCAAAAAAAAGGGTCAAACACTGTATACTCTCAACTTATAGCAACCCCGGGGCCTACTCATGGCATCCGCGCCCCAGCCCATCTAACCCAGTCGTCTTTTTTTCGCCCGCTAAGCGCCGACTTGTGGAACAAATGCATATCGAGGCAACGCGGCCATTCTCTCCTCCGGGCTAAATTCGACATCGTCGTAAATCATTCTGCCCTTCTTCTCCTTCTTGGCCTTCTTGTCGCCCGCGTCTTCGGCTTCTTGTGCCTGCTGGGGCTTGACGCCCGCCTCGGCCATGCGGATTAGTTGGTCGACGTCGTCGCCCACTGCGCCGGCGGCACCAACTTGTGGCTGCCAGTATCCTGCCTGGGGAGGCCGTTGCGGCAGACCAGTTGCCCCGGCAGCGTGGCTTGGAGGTCGGGCAGGTAAAGAATCCGCAGAGTATGCGTATGCTTGCTGGCCAGGATATGTTGGCTGTGCGGCGTTTTGTTGTTGGTTTCCCTAAAGACATTAGTTACTCAATTTTTTTTTTCGGCCAAATGACAATGCGAATCTGTTCACGTTCACGTACTTGTTCCGTGGGAGGTGTATTGGTTCGCTCCTCCGTCGCAGGAGGTAGAATGCCCGCCTTCTTCTGCGCTCTAAACTCGGCCAATCTTTTCAAAAGGTCCTCCGAAGTTTCCATCTTGATCTTCTTCCTGGGCGTCGCCTGTCCCGAGGCAGGGTTGCCCGTTGCGATGCGCCGGTCCTCTTGGGCCTGGTAGAAGTTCTGGATATTTCGGTTGCGGTGTTGCTCCAGGGCGTCTTGAGGAATACCCTCCATTCCGAAGATTTCGACTTCGAGCCCTTGGCGGTTAGGGAGGGCATTTTCGACTTGGCTGAGTGTTTCTTTGTGGACTTGGTTCAAGTGTACGGAGAGACCTGTCCGAGGTTATCATTTAGCAAACTTGCGTCATGATAGCGCGTGAGACTTTGCAGGCTGCAATTGCACATTGCAAATAACGAGCGTCTCTCATACCTCCGGCTGTGTTGAGTCGTCGTCCGCAACGATCACATTTGAAATGTTTGGCTTTTTGGTGAGAGATGAGGAGCTTCAAATCTTCAAAATCACGTTCGCCTGCAAATAGTGCCAAGTCAGAATTCAATTTCAAGTCCTCCCAGTCAAGTAACGGCGGTATCTATCGTACAGTAGTAGCACCAGGGACGAGCTAGCACCTCCTCGATGTCGGGGTGACCACGCTTCTTTTTGCCCATATTGACGAGCGCGCAAGAGGATGCGCACGGGGGGCGTTCGCAGGGAAAATAGGTCAAGTATCAAGTATTGGGGACGATCACACGCGATGGCCGCGCAAGGAATGAATTGGGCGCGTAAACTCGGAGGGCAGAAGTATAGAATGGTGCAAGGGTTGAATGCGTGCTTGGCTTGGCCAGCAAATGCGGTTTCTCGTGGACTCGTGGTATTGCTCCCAGCTTGTCCTACGGTTAAAATGCGGTTAAATGGAGACATGGGCCAACCCCAACCAACCCCCACCCCGCTTTTCCGCGTCTCTTTCTTCTCGCATTTCCAAATGGGATCGTCCTGGATAAAGCTCCAGAGCAAGTACACTTGAGTGGAATCGCCACCAAAAGTTATCGTGACATGCAGGTTTAAGCCAGTTCATATATACAACTTATGGGATATCGTATATGTTCCTCATTATCATAAAGGCACCTCGACCCCACAATATGCTAATACCCTGATACAGAGTCCCGTCATCCCTCATTCCGCGTATCATCGTCCTCTTCACCATCCTCCAATTCTAATCAACAGCGGTATATAGTCGGATCCAGCCCTCACAGGCTTTGCTTCTATGTACTTAAATAACGCCAAAGTTCCCAGGGTTTCAAATATCAAAACATTGCAGCCGCTGCCGTCATCTCCTAATCCCGAGGAGTCTGATCAAACATTATCAATGGCCATGATGCTGGCTGTGGCACCATGGGCAGTTCGCTACCAGTGTGAGGCATTCCGTTGCCCGTCATTATGGGCGTGATGACTGAGTTCCTGACTGTTTCTGCATCACCAAGAGTCATTAGTGAATCAGCGCCGTATCGTTGTTGGCTTTCTGCAATCGCGGCAGACCAATTCTGCCATGACGACCTCCACATAATGTCGGCGTTTTGGTGGCAGAGATGCTGCCCAGCCTCGGAACTGTATCCTGCGAGGGTGTCAGTCTGAGCAGGGCCACCTGGGTGCCCAGCAGCTGCACTTGTATTAGGATAGTATAGTTCAGTCTGGTTGTGTTGGTATGAGGTCGTGGCCTGAGGGTTTGGTTGTGTCTGTTGGTCCATGTATGCCAGGGATGGATACGTCGCATGCGCGGGGGCCGTAATATTTGCATGGTAGAAATTTTTGGTGAGCTCTTCCGCCCTTGAAGTGTCAGCCGACGGGAAGGATTGGTTCTGATTGGCAACAGTTCCAAATTGAACGGCATGGGTATTTTGCTGCTGCTCTTGTGGTGCCAACGGAACCGTGCCTTGCAAGGGCAACTTCTGCTCCTGCTTCACGCTGGCGTGGGTCAGAATTGGATTTTTCGCATCCTTCTGCGGCATATCATGTTCGATCCAAGACATGGTGCGGTTAATCAGTTGCGCGATCTGAGTACTCATACCAGTGCCGCAGCCTGCCAAGTCGGCCTGTTAGCATAGGTGTCGGCGCGTTGGAGAAAATTAGAAGACGCTTACCGAGCAGGGCACTCATTTCTCTAACAATCTTCATCCACCTCTGCATTTCATCCCTCAGCCTGGCTACTTCGTCTTGTGTGATTTCAAACCGTCGCTGCCATTGAGGTACTAGCATGGACAAGATGGCAACACAGTACAGGGACATCTGATGCCATGTCGTATCTAGGGCTTTCATCCTACTCAGATGCTCGACAGTCTGGAGATATTCCCGGGCAGCCTCCTCGCAAATTTTGGTGTTTTCATCAATCAGGGCCGCATCAGTCGTCATTGCCAATGACGGATGTCTGATGTGCAGGCGGAATTCCAACATGTAGGTGCGTGCGAAGAGAGCGCCAACCATTCCGTGGTCATTTTTTTTGGCCGGGCTAAGCCGCATGGATTCTGGAAGATCGGCCTCCCACTGCCTCATCTGAGCTTCAAGGACGGCGAGGACATTCCTGTAGTTGCTTTCGTCTCTCCGCACACTAAAGATGTTCGCGTACATCTCCATATAAATGGGGATGCATTTGAATGCAGCAATTGCGACTTCATAGGGACAAGGAACGGTTCGCGACGTGTCGACGCCCTCGTCAGACAATAGCTCGTCAGCAATTGGCTCCGGGAAATCAACATCGAAGTCCTGCACGGATACTGGGATCGGGTAGCCTCGCTTGCCATTGATGTCAACAACAACCATCATCATGTTCCACCAAGCACGTTTGCGGAGTTCGTTCTGCAGATCCGTTGGTTCACCAGGCTTTTTCGTTCTACGATGATAGTTCAGCTCGAGTGCTCGGTGCAAAGCCATGCTTGCAACTATCGATCCGCAACCCGGTTTGGGAAAGGCTCTCGTGTGGGAGGCGATGAGAACTAGGCCTTGCAAAGCTTCAAAATCCGTAGAGGAAAAGATCTCGTACATCTTACTGAGAGCAAAATGGTAATGCTTGTTTGAAAGATCATTAAAGTTGTTGCGCTGCTCCAGGGTTTCGCTGTTCCGAACTCCAAACTGGAATAGTATGACGGCGAACACCATATGCACCAAGACCAACTCGGGCACAGTGGGTTTAAAACCGGGCTCATCATATACTCTCGTCAACTGTGAAGGAAAGTGTCAATGGATGGACGATTTGAGCAAACACGGCGAAAAAAAAGAAAGAAAAAAGAAAGGGCTTAGGGCCGGGGGTGAATGGAAACTCACAAGTTTCATAAAAGTTGGCTTATGCAGCAAGGGCATGAAGGAGGCAACGGTAATAAAGTACCACTCAGCATAGATGAAGGCATTTTCACGGGTAGGCAACTCAACCTGGACAGCAGGATTCACGCGCATGGCTGAACGCAAGAATGCCTGGACTGACTTGTTATACAAAGGCACGGAAGGGTCAGCAGCGGTGGGGGGTTCATCGACATCTGGCGCATCAAAGGAGGTGGTTTCAATGGTGGTGCCCAACAGAGTAAGTGTCATTCCCTTCAAAGAGCTGAGAGGTGCATCATCGGATCCAACGCCCCAACGGCTCTGCTCGGGCCTGGTTTGCCACTCGTTACGCGGAACTTTATGCCGGATAATGCTGCTTGTTGGGTCCGGCGGCGAGCTGTCCTTGATCCAAAGAGAGCCAAACTGGGACCAGCCGTCATTGCTCGAGGCGGCGGCTACATTGGCTGAAGCATTGCTCGAGTCTTCTTCATCAGCGGCTTCGGGAGGGCTTTG